AGAAACAAGATTCAAAAGCAGATCTGTGACTCCAACACACATCCTCTTTAAATTACATCCTTTTGTTGCTTAATAAGATCATTCCCCTCCTAGAAGCAGTCTTGCAAAAAAAAAAAAAAACACTCCTACCCCTCACTGTCCCCAGGATGGCTGAGCAATCTGAGCAATCGATGCAGGATGAAAAGAGGGAACCTCGTAAGGCATTCTGAGCCAGGAAGATGATCAAAAGCAGGAAGAAGGGGGCCTGATTGGATCTCAGGGATATCTTCCCTGGCGGGGGCTTTGCGGCTCACGGGAGGTTTTGATGCAAGAGGAAAGATCACATAGTGGCTTAGAGTACAAGATGGGGAATCAGATCAACCTAGGAGCACATCCCAGTTCCACTATTTACTCTCTTGATTCTTCTAAGCCTTACTTTCTCATCTGTAAAATGGGGATAAGATCTGAACCAACCTTGAGGGTGGAGGGGAGAGAAGGCATTATCTAGCTCCCGGCTGACGGTGAGCACTCTCAAAGTGTCTGCCACCGTGAAGATCATCTCTGGGATGGCTCAGAGCACCAGCCTTGCTGGAGGGGACCAGGCAGAGGTACAGCCCGGGGAGGCTGCCCCAGCAAGGACGGCTGACAGAGCCCAGAATCTCAGACTGCAGACCTGACCCGGCCCACGTCCCTGCAACAAACCCAGGGGCAGAACACGGAGAGGAGCAGGACTAGCCAGACATAATGCAACCTCGCGGAGGAGCCAGATTATTTGTTTTAAAGTGGAAAGTGTCTTCCAGGAGGATGGCTTTTTATCTGGGTGAATCTGGGGGTTGTGGATCAGCTTAAACTCATTATCTGCACACATGTTCTTCGACTCTGGCTCAGGGTAGAAAACAAAGGGTGGAAGGGAAAGGATGGGCAAAATCGAGCTGATGAAATATCATCCTTCAAGTGCCAGAAACCGGGATATTTTCAGTGACGTCAAATTGGGCTTCCTGCCACGGGGATAGAGCTATCGTGAGAATACTCGCAAGATTTTAACTCAAGAGTCCTCAATGAAGCAGGGAAAGAAAGAAAACCAAAACGCAATTTATTTCACGTACCCTTGTCTTCCATCCCCATAGCAGACACACACACACACACACACACACACACACACACACACACGATCAGAATTGGAAAGGAACAAGTTGATCTCTCCACTTCACAGTAACTATAACAATGATAATAACAACAATGATACTAATCAATATCTTCTGAGCATTCACCATGTGCCAGACAGCGTGTGCTAAGTGTTTTATATGTTTCATCTCATTGACTAGTCACAGTCGTTTGATAAGGTATTATTAGTCCCATTTTACATATCAAAAAACTGACACACCCTAGGAATACCCTAGGGTCGCAGAGCTGATAACTAGGAAAAAGCCAAGGTCCAAACCCAGGCAGCCTAACCACCAGACAATGCTGCCTGTAAAGAAATCAGGAAAGGGAAGCTCAGAGAGGGGGGTGACCCCCTCCAGGTCACACAGCTCCATTTGTAACAGAATCAGGGCTAGAACACAAGTCTTCCTAACTCCTGGTTCGGTGACTTTTCCACTCCTTCCTGTTGCTTCTTAGTATTTACACACATGCACACAACAGTGAACATGTTTCTGCTCATTCCAAGTTGTTTAACTCCCTAATTAAAGCAGCAGTCTGGGGTGCAGACAAGGGGTCAGGAAGGGCTGGACCTTAAGATAGGTGCCGGATGAAAGACCTGCTTTGCCAGTTGCAAACACTAGGGTTCATCATCTCACTCTCTCTTATTTTAATGTGTTTCATTATCTAGTCCCCCTCCCTCGACTGGAGCGCTGATGCAGGTCCAAGGTGCCAGCCTGTGTGGCAGGAGGAGCCCAAGCTGGCTGGTTTGCTCAATGGCATCAGGTTGCAGAAATACCCGCTCAACCCATCATCTGCTCCTGGGGAGGGGGGGGGGGTAAAGTGCTGGTTTCCAAGGCCCCTCCCTTTGCAGTGTCCCAGCTGAGTATGAACAAATGTTCCTGATTTTCTTCTCAACGGCTGATGAAATAGAAATAGGCCAGAAGAGCAGTTCTCTGGAAAGAGGGGTCCTTAAAAGGGGCAGCCCAGCCACCAACATTTGCTCCTCCCAGGGAAGGGGAGAAAGTGAGCGCCTGCCAGGCATCAGGAGAAAAGCAGCTTGTGAGAGCCTGCAGACAGAGAGAGGTTCCCAGCAGGCACTGGCCGAAAACTGCGGGAGGCCAGGAGCCTGGTGCTCTTTGCTGCGCAGGGTGGGGCCGCGTGGGGCAAGGCAGCCTGGAGAGCTGCCGCCCCTGGACCAAAGGCAGAACAGGGCTGCCTAGCCCCCTAAGAGGTTAGACTCTTCTGATTTTAAGTTGCAAAGCCCCTCAGATTTCCTCGGCCAGCACCCTCATTTCGCAGGCCGAGAAAGCAGGTTCAAGAGGGGAAAGTGACTCACCCAAGGCCACACTGATGATGCAGAAGAGCTGGCTTCAGAACGTGCCTGTTCCTCCCTTCCTGACCCCCTCCCACAAATCCCTGCCATAAGCCCTTGCTTTGATACCCCTGGCACACCTGTCCCCGCCCAGCACCCTGTCTTCCAACTCACCCCTCACACCATTAAAACCTCATACAGTAACTCAAAGAGCTATTTCCAAGCTCACATGGAATTTCGTCTTGGGGGTGAGGGGGACACTTTTTGGATCAATCCAAGGTGTCCTAACTCCAACTCCAGATGAACTTCTGCTTCTAGTAAGTGCCCTGGAACTCTCATTGATGCATTGCCATTTGGGCCACATGTTGTGCCAAGATCCCTCTAAGGGTCAGGCATCTGAATGTGTTTGGGGATGGAGGGACCAGGGACACAGAGTGACCAAGATTTGAAATTTTGCGGAATCGGAGATCTCGGAGTCAGCAGCCCTGGGGTCTCAGTTCTCTCTTCTCTTCAGGGCACGTGGGGACGGGGGCAGTGCAGAGAATGGGTGGAACACAGGACAGGGCTGGCTGTTCCGGGCAGGCTTCCCTCCTCAGAAAAACAAGACTCACTAAAAACAAAATTAAAAACCCCTTTTGTTTGCTGGCCCCATGGAATGTCTTGAAGACACATCCAGAGACAGCGGCTCCTCCACCCTTTCCTCTGTCTCTCTGCTCCTCCTCTTCTACTCAAAATAAAAACTGTACTGATCTTTCTTTATGGCCTCCCACAAAAACACCGGGTGGGCTTCAAGGAAAGCAAGAAGCTCAACTCTCTTTTAGGGCCCTCCCGGGTCCCATCACCTTTGCAGGATGGGGACTACCCACTGCGCAGTTTCTGGCCCAGAGGCAGATGAGAACTTCACTGGCCACTGTGAGGCCCCTGCACAGCCTTTGATTTGCTCATTTGTACCCATTTGGGGTGCAGGGAGGAGGGAGAGAATGAGAGAGGAAGAAGAGGCAACAGTCTCTTTAGTTAGTGTCCCTTCAATGTCGAACAGCCCCACACATGACAAAGTAGATACTCTTCACAGATGCCAGCAGCTTCCCAAGGCCTCAGCAGGTCACACAGAGTCCCTGAGGTCAGGCAAGGGCACACACAGCAGGTTCCCACCGATAACTGTGGAATGACCAGATGAACGTGGCCTGTAGACCTGGAGGGGAGGGGGGCTCTCCTTGACAGCTTGAGAAAATTACCACTTGAGCCTGGACTGCAGCGTCTTTACAGGTCCCCCCCACCCCCCCACCCTGTGCCTCCCAGGTCATGTGTGCCCAGAGAGAGTATGGGTAGGAGGAGATATGATATGCCAGAAGACCCTCACCCAAACACAGCCGGTAGGGATCCGGCCAGGTCCAGGGAACAAAGGTACAACTTTACAGAAACGGTGCTGCTTCCAGAGATTTGGGTTTCAGACTCCAAAGAAACCTCAAAAAGTTAATTCTCCCATTCATTTTCATCACACGGGGTTGCTGTTAGTGTACAGTTTCTCTCGTTTTTGTTTTTCTGCCTGTGACTTTTTATTCGCCAATACACCCCGCCAACCTCTTCTCCTCCAAGAAAAACCACCTCCTGACAGCCAAGCTTTCCAGCACACGGTGCAGTTACTACTGAGGCCGCCCAGCCTCATGCTCCACGCTCTGCCCCGGTCCCGCCGTGCTGCAGGCTCCTCGGGCGGAGCCCCGCGTGCGTTGGAGGGTCTGTGGTTGTCTGTCCTGGATTTCCGTACATTTGTCTAGAAGGAACCCGGACTCGCCTTCCTATGGGTGAAAAGGCCAGGGAAGGGCGCCCCCTGGCGGGAGCCAACTCACCTCAATCCAGCCGGGTCCCAAAGCCGGCATGAACCCACCCGAGCCCGCCAAGCCCTCCAAGCGGACTCCCACGACACCCCCTAAATCTGGACACACCCGAGCTTTGGATCCACCGGGAACCCCACGGAATCTGCCTCCCCAAACCGCACACACCGTGGAGGGGATCAAGGGGCCCCCGAAGGAAAGGGTGGCGTCCCTGCCCCGCCCCGCTGCCAGGGACCCCGAAGGCGACAGGCTCTCAGTGCCCCGGCTGGGCCCAGTAATCCTCCCAGCCCGGATCTTCGCTTCTAACCTAGTCCTTACCTGCCCTCCTACAGAGTGGGGTGGCGCGCATACTCTCCCTCAGGGTGCAGCCCTCGCCGAGACCCCAACCTTGGAACCACACCTGCCACGCTCCGCCATTCTCCTGGCGCCCCCAACTCACCCACCCGGAGCTCTCGGAGCCGACCGGCGCTGCACCTGTCCGCGGGGAGGCCCCAGCCCTCGGCGGGTTCGGGGCAAGGATCAGAGGCAAGCGCGTCTCCCCTGCCCCCTCCCCATGCTGATTTAAGTCAAACTTGGTTCCAGGGCTCCCCCGGGGCCGTCCTGGGATCCCTCTAACTGCACCCCACCCCACCCACCGTGAACAACAGTCTCCCGGGGTAGCGCGCATGGAGTCTCCAAGTCCCCGGGCGCAGCGGCGGGACGCGCCGAGCGCAAGTAGGTGTGGAGCCCCCTACCTTTCAGCTGCAGCGGCCGGACCCCGCGCCAACTCCCGCCGGCGGCCGCGGGGGAAACTTTCCCCGGGCAGATAGACGCGCTCTCAACTTGCTGGGCGCCTGCTGCCTTCCCGGCGGCGGCGTGTCCGAGGACCCGCTGGCGCGAGGCGGCGGCGCGGCGGCGGCTGCGCTCGCTCGGGGCTCGGGGCTCAGGGCTCGAGCCGGGCTCGGGCGGCCTCGCGCGGCTCCGCTGTGGAACGCTCCACGCTGCGTCCGCCCCGCAGCCTGGAGCCCCCGAGATGCTGGCGGCAGCTGCAGCCACTCGCCCGCCCGCCCGCCGGCCCCACCTCCCAACCACGGCTCCGTCCCTCCCTCTCTCCCGCGCTCCCTCCCCTCCCCAAACCTCCTCCTCCTCTTCAGTCTCCAGTCGCCGCCGCCACTGCTGCCTTGGCGGGCGCCGCGCAGGCACGTCTGCTCCCGCGGGCTGCCCCTCGCCTCCTCCCTGCCGTGGTCTCCGCCTTCAGTCCAGCTCCCGGCCTTGCTGGAGGGGCGGGTGGGGGGGCACTGGGGCAACTTCTGCCCTGCTCCCCGTCCTTCACCCCCTGCCCACCTCCCCCCTCTGCTTATGGGCCCACTTCCGCTGTGGATGTGGTTAGAGTGGCACAATAGACCTGGAGTATTTATTCCAGAGAAACTTTACGCACCCCCCACCCCATGATCCGACTTCAGGCTTGGAGGGGGCTGACCCTCCACCCGGACCTTGCTCCTTGGATTCTCCATGCCCTGGGAGTACCTGCTGAAAGCCAGGAGGATTCACTCTCCCTGAGCTATTAGATTGTGGCAGATAATAGAGGCCACTGGAGGGGTTGCAGCAGCGAGGGGCCTGACCTCAGACCAGATGCAAATGACTTGATTGCAAGAGGCCAGATCTGGGTCTCCAATCTCGGGACTTACCTTTTCTTCTTTGTACTGCTGCCACAGCCTCACATCCCCTCCTCAGCCCGACACATGACTTCACCGAGACATCTAACCTCCGGACCTCCTCTGCAAAGCAGCTGCCCGCCCGCTTGCCCCCGACAAAATGGGTAAGCAAGCAGATCAAAGCAGACAGCCCAAGTGAAAGTGTTTGCTAAACCCCAGATGAGAAGGGCTGGGTTGTCCACTTCTCTTCCTAGGCAGCTTTTTTTTTTTTTTTTTAATCCCTTCTCTGATGCTTTCATACCCAATGTTTGCTGGCCCTGAACACACGCAGCTCTGCAGGAGGCCCCTTGGTCAACTGATTCACACTAAGGAGTGAGTGACTGATAGTTGTTGAACCTACTCCAGTCTTGGATATGAATGTTGGTGAGGTCAGGCCACAGGGCAGAGTTTCAAGGGGGCAGGAAGTTGCTGCCTTTCCTTGCCCACATTCCAAAGAAAGGGTACATCCCTCTAAAGACTTCAAGGATGTCTGATTTTTTCCGCCAGTTCACTGAGTCACTGGGTAAATTGAGGAGGGGCTAATGGAGTAGAGAAGTGGCTGGGAGGAAGAACGGGATCCGCAGTTTTTAAAGGGACCCAGAGTTAGCAGTGCTTCGCCCAAGGGGTAAAAATCTCTAACAGTGCCAGTGCTGTATAACACAAGGACAAGGAAAATGCTGAAGGGCCTCAGGCTCCACGCTCACCCCTTCAGCTGCCAAAACAGGGTTGGGGGAGAGACTGACCCTCTGAGCTGAGAAACCCCACAGGCCTTGCGTTTATGGAATGCTGTTGGAAGAGGCTATCTGTGTGGGCCTCCTTGGACTCAAGGCGCACATAAATTTAAAGAGGAAAAGAGCACGAGCCTACCGTGAGGGTGCTGGGACATGGGAGGTGGGGGCCAGAGCCAGCAGGAGGGAGGGCTGGAGTTTCTGAGGGTCTGGGGGATTGTAGAAGCAGGCAGGAGGAAGTGGGGGGAGAGAAGGCATGAGATGACGACCCAGCAGTCCAATTGGACAGCTCAGAACATCCAGCTGGGAAGATAGCTCCGGTTCCAAGTCCAGGTCCCCCAGCCCTCAGCCAGTCCCCTGCCACCATCAAAACTCTGACCGTATCTGCACACCAGATAAAACCATTTGCTTAATAGCTTTCTTTAAATCACCTCTTGCTTTGTTATTATTTTACTTAAATGCGCTTGCTTTTATAAAGAAATGTTATATCATTGCCATAAATGGAAAACTAGCATCACATTACTATAAATAGAAGGTAACCATAAAAATAAATGCAATGAAAATAAGCGTTATTAAATTCTAACAATGTATATTTAACCACAATTTTTAAACAATTCCAGCAAGACACTACTGCCTCAGGAAAGTGCTGAGCTGAGGCCCACTCTCTATTGAAAAGGGAGATTAGCAAGGGCTAGAAGGGTGTCTAAGACACATAGCAACAAACTGAGACTCCCACGTTGTGATCAAAAGGGTTGAAAGAGAACTGGAAAGGGACCCCCCCCACCCCTAGCTCAGTCAGGGTTCTGAAGGCCTGTGGATGCATGGCCGTCAGCCTCCTTGGAGACCTCTGATATCCCACAACTGGGAAACATGATTCTAAGTGTATTAGGCAAAACGTCCTATTTGTCAAAAGTTAGGAACCGCAAGAGTTTAGTCCTGGACAAGAGAAGGTGATCCTTGGTGCAGAGAGGGGCCTCCCTCTCAAAGGGTGACCTTGGGGAAGTCACTTCCTTCTCTGGCCTGTGTCTCCACCAGTGCAATGAGGAGCTTGGACAAAGGGCCTCTAGGGTCCCTTTTGCTATTCATTGATAAAAGCAGAAAGGAACCAAGGTGGTGGCTTGTCTGAGAAGGAAGGGGATGAAGAGGGAAGGGACCCGCAAAGGGAGAAAATGTGAGGGGGCGTGAGCCGGATCAGCAGGCCTCAGGAGGGACAGAAGGTGGTGTTAAGGCCACTGTTGACTGATCAGAGTCCAGGCTGTCACAAACCCAGAAGTGGCCTGGCCCCGAAGGTTCTAGAGTCCCACTTTGCCCATTCCAGAAGAAATCTTGTGGACAATTTATTGTGATCCAACCACCTCGTTTTACAGAAGGGGAAACTGAGGAAGGAACACAGACTGGATCCTAGTCATGGTCAGGGAGCTGGGCTTGGCACTGAGGGCCTGTGACTCCCATGCCACGCTCTTTCAGCTCCCCTGGTGTTTGGGGGTCTAGTAGAAATGGTTCTTTTGAAAATTCTCACCTTTCCTCCAAGGGGCTCTCAGACTGTTTCCTCTGGCACCCGGAAGAACCTTGCATAGGCCTGAAAGCCCCAAACTCACCAGGGTGTGGCCAGTGCTGGGCAGCCCAGGTGCGGTGCCCCAGTCACTGGGCACAGGATACTTGGGGTGAGCACCCACACACTGGCATCCTGGGGGGCACTAATGCAGAACAAAGAGCCCCAAACTAGGATCCACAGGCCAGAATTTTAGTCCTGGTATCTCGACAATTCCCTTCCGTCTCTGGGCCTCAGTGGCCCCATCTGTATAATGAGACTTTTGGTTTCAAGTTGGGCTGGCAGTGCCTGCTCCGAGGTACCCAAGGACCATAGGAGAGGGAGGGGAATCCGCCTCCCAGCTCTAGCTGGAAGCAGGTTACCTTTTCATCTGTTTTGTACGATGGGGCCTCACGTGTGATTTTAAGGAGAAAGTGTCCTTCGCTTAAAAAGATTTTAAAATCACTGGAAGGGATGAGTCTTGCTCCTCACGATGATAAGTGTAAGGCTGTTAGACTGTGAGCTTCTCGAGGCCTGGGGCCCTGCCTGGTCACCTCCGGGTCTCCAGAACCTGGCACAGAACCAGCGCAGAAGGGGGCGTCGGAGGCCACTCCCTCAGTGTGCTGCCTTGATCCAGTCACTTGAACTCTCCGAGCCTCAGCTGGTGCATTTCTAAAATGGGGATCTTCTGGCCGGTGTGGCTCAGTGGTGGAGCCTCGACCCGTGCACCAAGAGGTCGCCGGTTCGATTCCCAGTCAGGGCACATGCCCAGGTTGTGGGCCCCATCCCCAGTGGGGGGCATGCAGGAGGCGGCCAATCGATGTTCTCTCTATCGATGTTTCTCTCTCTCCCTCGCCCTTCCTCTTTCTCTAAAAACAATCAATAAAGAAAAAAAAAAGTAAAAATAGTAATAAAATAAAATGAGGATCAAAACCACACCTCTGGCAGTGGGTGGCTGCGACAGTCTCACCGGAAGCTTTCAGTACAGTCCCTGGCACATAACAAATGCTCAGTGATGGTGAACCTGAGGTAGGAATGGATGGAAGGATGGATGATACTCAACAGGGCAGATCTTTCCCCCAGGAGGCATCTTGACCTTATAACCTAGCTTTTCCAAGGCAGTCTGCATTTTAAATAATTAATCATTGCCTCCCTGAATTTTTTCTCTCTGAATTATCTCTTTTTATATGTAATTTGCAATCATTTCCCCAAAAAATGACAGTTCATTAAAAGTACAACTGAGTGCGATTGAATTTATTTATCTTTGCAATGATTGTCATAGAAATACATTTGCAAATTCTAAGACTGTCCTTGGGGGTTTGAAGAACATGGTCTTGACCCTTCAAGGCCTGGACCAGTTGCAGGCATCCCCCCTCTCTTTCTCCACCCAACAAGATACCCACAGGCCACGGCCAGCCTTGCTGAGCATTTTCAGCACAAGGCCCAAGGCTGGCCTGCCAAGGTCCTCCTCCACCCCCAGGAATGTGGCTGGCTGGCTGCTGGGAGAAAGGGATGGTGCTCACTTCCTCTCCCAACCCTCTGCAGGAAAAGAGGTAGATTCTGGGTGGCTGTGCTGGGAGGGGCCCAGGCTCTCGCTTCTGCTGGGTGGTTGTAGGTAACTCTCCAGAAAGCAGATCCCCGGGGCCTAGAGGATATCAGAACAAGTTACTGCTGAACTTTCATCATCCACCTTTATTTTCTTTATGAACTGACAATAAATAAGGCAGTACTAAAACTACCATTCATGGAGTGCTTACTTGGGTAGGAGCTCAGGTTGTGAGATTAGATAAATCCTCCTTCTAAGCCTGGCTTCTTGGTTCACCAGCTGTGTGGCTTTGGGCAAGTTGCTTTGCCTCTCTGAGCTTT